TGTTATTCAGATCCTTGACTGACATAGATTTCTTTGATTGATCAATTTCCTCGGGTAATCTGATAGTGCTTTTTGGTAACCAAAAATACTGTTTAAAAGTAATATCCTGGACTATATCACTTTGCAACTGTGATCCAGTATTTGAAGTGGGTGTATTAAATGGCAAAAATCTTTTTCTTCTTTTGATGTTACCCTTTTAGTTTCTGTAAGTGCTAATGATGTTAGCAAAGTTGTTTGATGATCACATTCCTTCTTACTAATGTATTCTCTTTAAAAGCATTTGAAATTGTCATATCACCATAATCATTTATTAAGTTATAAATACTTTGTTTAGGTAACTCTGACTGATAATGGACTGGATCTTCTCCATCTTTTATATTATCTTCACAAAGGTTTTTATTTCTTATTTTATATGGCCTTAAGTCATCATTCACAGACTCTTCAGGCCAACCATTCTTACAGTACTCATATACTTTTATTAAGCACTCATCTTTTTGTGTTTCTCTTTTAATATCGTTCACATTTATATTGGAGTTATCCATGATAGTGAAGAGAACAAATACATCTTCTGGTACATAGCTAAGGCTTTGGTTTTTTAAAGGTAATCTACTAAGACTATCTGCACTATTCTCAGATCCAGGTTTGTATTTCAATTCATAATTGTATGCAGTTAGTGTGATAGCCCATCTTTGAATTCTTGGTTAGGCATGCTCAGGTAGGGTTTTGTTTTCTCCAAATAAACCTAGCAATGGTTTATGATCTGTAAAGATGGTGAACTTCCTACCAAACAGAAACTTATGAAATTTCTTAACACCAAAAATGATGCCTAAGCCTTCCTTATCTAACTGAGAATAATTTTTCTCAGCCTGGTTCAAAGATCTACTGGCAAAAGCAATGGGTCTGTCACCCTTCTCATCCATGTGGGACAAGACTGCTCCTACACCATCTGGTGAAGCATCACATGTTAATATAAGTCTTTTCCCTGGGTCATAGTGAGTTAGTAAGGTGTCAGAAGACAAAGCCTCTTTTGCTGTATTAAAAGCAGCTTCTTGTTGTTTACCCCAGTGCCAAGTTGCATTTTTCTGTAGCAGCTTGTACAGTGGTGATAGTTTACCAGACAGATTCCCTATGAACTTTGCATAGTAATTTATCAAGCCCAAAAAGCTCTTAGTTGTTGGGTATTTTCAGGTTTGGGTGCTTCTTTAATGGCTTTTGTTTTCTCAGGTTGAGGTCTGATGCCTTGTTTGCTCAATATATAACCAAGAAAACTAATTTCTGTCAACATGAATTGACATTTATCTTTGTTTATCTTTAAACCTTTTTCACCAACTACTTTCAATACTTTATCAAGTGTTTTAAGATGTTCAGTGTCATTCTTACCAGTTATGTACACATTGTCAAAGTACACACAAACATTTGGAATATCCTTACAAATACTGTCCATGACAGCTTGGAAAATTCCAGGGCTAGATGATATGCCAAAACATAGTCTTTCATATTGGTAGAGTCCTTTATGTGTGTTTATTGTCGTATAGACTTTTGAATCTGGATGCAGTTCTAGTTGAGTGTAAGCATGACTAAAGTCTAATTCAGTGAATTTGTCTCCTCCTGCCAAATTCAAAGAAATTTCCTCAATGTTAGGAATAGGGTACCTATTTAGCTCTATTTGCTTATTCAGTGTGGCTTTGTAGTCTCCACAAATTCTTATAGAACCATCCTTCTTTAACACTGGCACAATGGGCGTTGCCCAATCGGAATAGTCTACCTTCTTTATGATGCCATTAGATTCCAATCTACTTAGCTCATTTTCAATTTTATTCCTCATTGCATAAGGTGGAACTCTAGCTTTGCAGTATCTTGGATTTGTGTCTTTAATGCTTATCTTCACTGTTCTATCATTTAGTAATCCAGGATTACCAAAAACACTTTCATTTTCAGATATTACTTTATCTATTGAAGTAAGACTAGATTCTCTTGCATTGATCAATGAACATATACTCTCCCAATTTAACTTAAGATCAACTAACCAGTTCCTACCTAGTAATGGTGGTCCATTTCCTTCAACCACAAGAAGAGGAAGTTTAACACTTTGACCATTATAACTTACATGAACCATACACTCTCCTATTACCGGAACATTGTCACCAGTGTATGTTGTTAGGCACTTGTGACATGGCTGTAGAGGCACTGATCCTCCTGTGAAAGCGTCAAAGTCCTTCTTTGTGATGACTGTTAGAGATGCTCCAGTGTCGAGTTGGAAGCTGATGCTCTTACCGTTGATATTAACTAGTACACTGATGGGAGCATGACTTATTGATTTCACAGAGAACAGGCTGAAATCCGGCTGCGAATCAGTTTGAGCATTTTCACAGGTAGAGTGGTTCATTGGTTGGGTTAGGTAGTCTTGGTGAGAGTTAACATAGTGCTGCCTTTCGTTGCGGTACTGTCTTGACTGGCTAGATTTAGCAACAGACGAAGACTTTGCAAAGCAGGCCTTGGCAATGTGACCTTGCTTACTGCACTTATAACAATATGCAGACTTGAACTTGCACCGATGAGATGCGTGGGGACCTTTGCATCGATGACATTTTTGATAATTATTACTAGATTTAGATCTAGGCTTTAAACGTGCAGGCTGTTTAGCATAAGTTGGAATGCTCTGATGGGGTTGGTGTTTGTTGACTAACCTGCTGTTTACTGCATGGATCTCTGAAGGCGTTAGAGATTTCGCCGCATCTGATGATTGCTGGAATGAAGTTGCTAGTTGTATTGCTTTTTCTAATGTTAGATCTGACTTGAGCAGCAACTTTCTTTGAATATCAGGGCTGTTTACACCTGTCACAAACTTTTCACATAGTCTGTCAGACAGCGTGTCTCCGAATTCACAATATTCACTTAAATGACGTAAAGCAGCAACGTATTCTGATATTGACTCGTTTGGTTGACGAGTCCTACCGTCAAATCTAGCTCTACATAGAAACTTTGATGGGGTAGGCGCATGGTGGTCTGTTAGCAATTTGCTCAGCTCGTTAAAGCTCTTGGTAGTTAGACTAGCTGGTGCGCATAAGTCCTTTAGTAGCCTAAATTGTTGAGGCCCTATGACTGTTAACAAAATAGCTCTCTTTTTGGCTTCTATCGTCACGTCGTTTGCTTCAAGGTAAAAGCTTAACCTATCTAGGTAATCGTGAATGATTTCATCATTCGAATCAAATTCTTTTATTTGGCCATACAGCGCCATTATTCTAGAAATACTTAACTAATATGCTCTAGCAAACCTCTTTTTTGCGTAAGTAGGTGCTCTTTCTAGTGGATTATTTATCCTTCGTCGCCAATGTGATAGATTGGAATCACTGACGAGAAGCCACATTGGTTGTTAACAGTAGTTTATTCACACCATGAGGAGAGAGAGAGAGGGCGGAAGTGACGAGACATTTATATACACAACATGTAAGGGACATCACTCAAGATAACAATATAAATATAATACTAATACAGAAGAGTGAGTTCCCTTGACTTCACAAGTCTCACTATATTACATCTTGAAAGAAAACATAAATTAATTATAGATTAATAGGCAAATATAGCAATAAAGTATAGCTTTAGATTTTATTCAGCCTACTAATAAATAATTAAATAGCCCTAAAGTAGTACTAGATATTAGTTAAATCACTAGTATTGTGTAGGGTTATTTTTATAAAAAAAACAGATCACATCTTATAAAATAAAAATAATTTATTTAGGACCTAGTCCTATCTTTTGGAGATCTAAAATTCTAAATGAAAAATAAATTATTAATTAGACCAACAATAGGCATAGTATGCTAAATCTATTTTAGTATTTAAATTTAAGGCTCGGCCATCTACTAAAAATTTTATAAATGTCATAAAATGGCCTACTTAATTATAATTACTAATTAGTAACTAATTACTATTAGGCCTAAGTTTAAACTAGAGATAGCCTATTTTATTAGTAGAAAAAGTATTAGCCATAGTTAAGATGGTATAGCCTTATGTAAATTAATGTAATCAGTGTTAGATATTATGATATCGATCAAGCATTTATTATATAATATCGGAAAGGGGCCTAGCACTCTCTTAGTCATTAGTCTATTAGGTCTTACAGGTAGTTTAGCCTATTTATATATTATATAGGCTGTTATTTAAATTAGGCCAAAGGCTTATTAGGAAAAGGCTTAATAGGCTTTAGTTTTTAATTAGGCAACAAGGCAGAGGCTTAATGTTGCTTATAGATTTAATTTGAAATTATTATGATATACGCTACTCTGCGACTATCACTATAGACTGCTATAGAGTATATTATAGCCTAGGCCTATCTAAATAAAATAATTCAACTCACTAAGCTTACTATAATTTTTAAAAATGTTAAGTTAAGTATTCAGCTTTCTATGTCAGCTAAGGCCCATAATTGTAATTATCCTACTGTTAGATCTATTAATTATTTAATAATTAGTAGGCCTAATTATAGGAATTAGGTCTGATACATTAAGTCCTATACATTGGTCGTAGAGTAATACTATTGGGCTAGTAATTATATACAATATCTATACAAGCCTACTTATCGTTAATTTGGAAGTCTTTGCATTGACCTTAGTTTTCAGATGTAGCAGCCTAATTTTTATCAGATTATACCATAAAATCAAAAGTAGACTTGTAGATCTTTTTAAAACAAGGCATGAAATATTAATTTAAATAATATAAATTAAACAAATAGCCTAAATAACAACTACACAAAGTTAAAGTCATAATAACTTTTTATAAAGGTATCTTGAATTTCAACTGGAGGTAGTTTTGATAAATATTAGTATTCTGAACATTAAAATAGGTAGACTTAACATAAATTTGTTCTGAAAACATATTTAGAAATTGGTTTTAAAAAATGAGGTTAGGATTGGGGTGATAACTAGTTGAGGATTAGATATGATATTCATTGTGTTTATCCATGTTGTAATTTCTCTTTTTCTTTTACAGATTCATCCAGAAAAAAGGGAAGATCTGATTTTTACCAGTAATAAGACTACAGCATACTAAATGACACAAGATGTTCTTTCTCTATTACCTCTTACATTTGACATAAAAGTAGGAAAAGGTATGACAATTATTAATAAGCTGCTTTAAATTTTATAATTTGTTTTTTTATAACTTAATTGTACCATTTTTATTTCCAATAATGATAAATATAATTTAGTGTCATTTATATTTTAAAATATTTATATTATACTAGATATAATTTACTTCTATAATATTACTATCCAGGTTTAACAGTCTATGCCTACAACATAGATCTCCAGGACTTAAAGTGCACAAAATGGCAATCAGTATATCACAAGTGTTATAACACATGCATCTAATCTGCTTCACTGGCGAGAACTGGTTGAATCCTCTCAAACATTAATCAGGTAAGTTATCACAAGTTTGCTTTGGTTTATTTTGAACATGTTGATTGAGATAGATTTTTATTTGCATAAATATTGCATTTAAAAAATATTTTACCTAGTAAAACCAAGTCAGTGGTGATGATTGATACAATATCATTATGTATTTTTTTAAATATTTGTTTTGCAAAATATGCTGATTTGCAGGAAGGATATATATATATATATATATATATATATATATATATATATATATATATATATATATATATATATATATATATATATATATATATATATATATATATATATATATATATATATATATATATATAAAACAGTATCATTTAGTGGTTTGTCTTACAAATTTGAATTATTTACTTAATCTGTCTTAACTGCTCAACAGGAACTAGGCATACCTAATGAGCGTCAAGCTGATACAGTAGATGTACATAAGAATTTTTACACAAGGTAAATATTGATAAATTTTAAGTTTTCTTTTTTTAAGGATACATGTAGTGTTTTGGGAGAAAGGAATTAAATTATTTAAATTAGGCCTAATAGTTTATTTCTCTAGCTTATGTTTCACTTAAAATAACTTAAATTTTTCCCCCTTTATCACTAAAGCAAAATTTTATACATATCTATGCCATGATTCATCTCATTCAATCACTTTTTCTTGTTTTGTTTTTATGTATTAAACTAATTTAAACTAAAGATTTTTTTTTTTTTGCTAATTTTATTATTTCAGATGGATGATTAAGAAAATCATTTTGTTTTGTTTCAGGAAGTGAAAATTGATGTAAAAGGCAACTAATACTTCCATCTACCATAGTTAAACAAGAATCTGCAAATGGTGATAATTGCAATAATCTTGATATATTAATGTTTGGCTTTATAATTATATGCAATTGTCAGGTTTCATAAATAAATTATTTCTCAAAATTTGATGTATTTGGTTTTCTTACTTTGTACATAAGATGCAAGTGATTGAAAGCTGAAAAGGGTTGTATGTAGTTATAGTATTCCCAGCACAAGTTGACATTAAAACAGCTGAAGCCCTTTAAAAAAAAAAAAAAAAAAAAAAAAAAATAATCTAGGAATGCTATTTCTATTAGCTGAGCATATATTTGGAAAAGAACTTAATTGTTTACCAGAGAATACTGTGACCCAGTTTGTACTCCAGGCAAAAAGTGTCTATGGTTAATATTATTAAGTTAAAGAAAAGTATCAAACAAACAGGATAATATTAATAAGCAAGACCTCCACACTAGAGAAGTATGGAATGAGTGTTGCATGGAATTCAAATCAACTTTGATGTTGCTAATTGCTACACTGGCCATAATTGGCCTACATTGATTTTTGCTGAGGTAGGCAACTGTTTTTGTTTAACTTTAGATGTCGACTAAATAAAGAAGAAAACTGACACGCCAATACCAAAATCAAGAACTTGTAAAGTTCGTGGTTGCTAAACCGAGAAGTCCTGAGTTCAATCTCCCGTGTAGATGAGGCTCTATAGTTGGGCATAGCAACCTATCTTTGGGATACAACACTTTTTCTTGGATTGACAAAAGATAAGAAAAGAAATCCAGAAAAAAAAGCAGCTGAACGAAGAAGAAAAAGGCTGGATATATTCGGTATCAACTGTACAATTTTAACAGACACACATTTCAAACTACACATGCATTTCAATGACAAAGTTTAGTGAAGCCATAATGTTGAGTTTGACTGAATGAAGAACGATATTGTTATTTCAAGCAAAGTTAAGGTTTATTGTCTTAAAGACATTGTCGTGGATTGATTTAGACTAAGACTTCTCTGTTAAATAAGCCGACAACGATGGCTCTTCTTATTTCTCGTCTTTGATGTTGCTTTCAAGAACTTGTATGAGATTAGATTACCTACATACATAAGGCTACAAAGTTTGGAATCTTGGCTTTCTAATAGTGGACCTGGCTACATGACATTACCCCCACCCCGTCAATTACCCCCCGCCCCCGGAGGAGACCCCCCCCCGTATTTACCCCCCGGGGCAATTACCCCTTGTCAATAACCCCCCTGGAGAATCCCCCCCCCCCCGGCCTCAAGTTATGATCCTAACTCAAACTCTATACCTATGTATTTCCTTAATCCTAATCGATAAAAAAAATGACCAAACCCTCAGCATTCACCTCAGCCTAAAACTTAACACATAACCAAAGCCAACTCTAGACTTAGGTTTCAGCCTAACCTTGACCATAACACTAACCCTAATCCTAGCCTTAATCCTAACCCTGACCATAACACTAACTCTAATTCTGAATCTAACCCTAGCCCTAACCTTAGCCCTAACGCTAACCCTAACCTTAGCCCGAACACTAACCCTAACTCTAGCCCTAACTCTAACCCTAGCCCTAACTCTAACGCTAACCCTAACCTTAGCACGAACGCTAGCCCTAGCCCAAACTCTAACTCTAGCCCTAACTCTAACCCTAGCCCTAACGCTAACCCTAACCCTAACCCTAGCGGTAACCCTAACCATAACCCTAACCCCAGCTGTACCTTAAGAGGTGTGTGCGTGGGGGGGGGGGGGAGATGTCCTCCTTGGGGGGGGGGGGTAAATGACAGGGGGTAATTGCTTTAGGGGGGGGGGCAGAGAACTAATAATCTGTAAGTCCTACTATTCAATACATTTGGTTAACACAATGTCGTCACACATGTAAAACAAAATAAGCAGTGTTTTTATTATTTGTATCCTTAAAAAATGCAAAATAAATGCTACGCCATTAACTCAACCCTCTTTTTTCTCGTTACATATCTTCACATAAAGCCACCGCCCAAAATGATGGTGACGTCAATATACAATCATAAAGTGGTCACCCATTAACGACGACTCACTCTTCAGACGATTTTGCACCCAACCCCCCTTCTCTAATTGTAACACATTTTCACAAAAAGCCAGATCTTCGCTTCCCCCCCCCCCCCCACCGCTCTCTTTAAAAACACCACACCTCAACACATAACCCCCTCCGCCGTTCCCCTGAAACTGCATTTTTACTTTCTCGTATATACGAAGTATAGAGAAAGTCTTGTAATCGTGCAAAAAAAAAATCGAGATTTTTTACAAATCTCGACGTTTTACACCTCACTGATACGGAAAAACATAATTTTGCAATCTTGTCCGTATGTCTGTGTGTGTGTCTGTGTGTAAACACGATTACTTGAGTACCGTTACAGCTAGGTTGATGAAATTTCATATATAAGTATTTTATCAAAATCGTAGATCCGTATAAACTTTTGAGTGATTTCCGATAACCGAAAGTGGTACTTTTTCTACTTTGAATTTTTCAAAAGCCTATACCTTGAGTACTATTTCAGATAGATGAATGAAATTTCACATGTAAGTAAAAGATCTAATTCTCTACCTTCTGTCAAATTTTGAGTAATGTCCGTTGACAGGAAGTACTAATTTACGCTATTTCCAATTTCTCAAAAAACGCACGTAAATTTATAAAGTACTAATAATGTTGCGCACTATTATGCACATCTTTATTTGACGTTCACTTGGTGTGCAATTCTTTTTTCTACGAGGTTTTATTCTATTTTAAAAAGTTTAAGTATTTAAAATGGATTAAAAATCATGTCTATATCCCGAGTTGCCATTCCCCGTACTGTTATATTAGAATATTCGAGAAAGTTTAGGGGAGATCACTCCCGGTTTATTATAATATGTACTGACCTCGATAAACATTGAGTTAATAAATGAATTAATACCATAAGCAATCTTTTAAAGCCCGAAATAACGGATGAAAGCAAAAAGGTGTCGTCACACTTTCCGATCATCCTTTCCCATAAATGAAAAAAAAGCCTGAACATACTAAAGGAGAGTATGGATGTTGATGGAGGATCCCAACGTTAAAAATTAAAGCAGCGCACAATTTCAGGAATCCATGTTACATATTATTATTTTCCGTAGGTATAACAAAGGTATTTACATTGTGTTTTATATTTTACGAGCCGCTATCATACGCCGCTATTTAGTTGTTTCATTTTCTACTTTTCAGTAATTCATAATTTGTGAATTCGACAGTAACAATGCTGCCAATGAAAATATTTGCTTTAAAACACTATCAGTAGCTCGTTAAGGACGATAACCCCCCCTCCCCACACTCCTTTCCCAAAAATCCTACCCCCCCCCTTCCTCGTGAAAGCAGCCCAATCTGAGTTACCTCCACTAAGTTTAAAATCGTTTCAAACTAAATTATCTGCCCCTAATAGCTGTCACTAAACCCTGCTCTACGATTGTAAACATTTAGCTTGAACCACAGCTCATCAGACCATGTAGGGATGGGGGTGGTAGGGATAGAGAGAAAGAGAGGGGGCTGCTAGGGGCGCTTACAGCTTGGTGTTTTCTATGGTATCCATGAAGAGAATTATTTATATAGAAGAAATATATATTAAACCAGCGTACCCGTCCCGCGCGTTGCTGCGGTCTCAGAAGACAGACTGACGCAATATTTTAAGAGGATTCCATAATTACATTAGCAATCACGTATTTTGTTACGCTTGTCATTGATTTCTAAATCTAAACAATTTAAATGTAATCAAAGCCGGTGTTATATTGCTTTCATCATAGTTGTTGAGGCGCAAATTCTACCGCACACAGTAGCCCATTGTATCCATAATGTATCGCACTCTTTAAAATGAACGTAGGCGCAATAGTGTTTATAATGGAACCCACACAGGGGAGCTAGACCACACGCCAGTGGTGCAGTAGACAACCTTAGGATATCCCAGGGCGCCAAATCGCATCCTGCCGGGGCGCCTGATTCCATATAGTCAAAAATTATTGTTGCCCATCGTGTCTTTAGTGTATAAATTAAAAAAAAAAACCAACGTAGGCGTCATAGTGTTCACATGGTAGCACGGGGCGCTTCGGGTTACGTAATATCCGGGGCGCCGGCGGCTGCGCCTGTTGTTGCTATTTTACCTTAGCCCCCATGCAGTTTTAATATCGCCGCCCTGGATTTTCAGGCGCCAAGCCGTTTATTAACAAAAATCGCACCCTCCAGGGAAACGCCCATAATAAATTTTAATTTTTGTTTTCGCAGAAACCTTCTCGTGAGTGTTTTCATTAACTCTCGAAAGTTTAACGGCACTCAGATAAACGATGTCAAACAGCATCCGTTTTGTTTTTTACAAACTGTGTAGAGAAAAATTGCACCCTCCAGGAGCGCCGCCCTGTTAAAATAAAAAAAACCTCCCCTGAAGTTTTATGGCGAGCGGATGAACGGGATTAAACCGCTATCTACTTTTACGTATATATACCCTATATAGGGATCTATATATAGAATAGATTCGCGCCCTGCTGGGGCACCGTGCTTGTGAAATATATCCAGTGGTATTCTTAACTTAAGTTGCATGGCCATAGGAGGAAAGGTGTAGTGCTGCATAGATGACATAAACAAACCCACAAACAAACAAGCAAAACTTCATTATATATATACATAGAGAGAAATATAAATAATTCTACATATGCATATATATATATATATATATATATATATATATATATATATATATATATATATATATATTGCTACATTTGGTGACTTTCCATTTTCCCCAATGGCGTCAAATTTTGCACATAATCCACCTATTAATTCATGTGAAAAAAAGCATCGTTTTCATCGTAAAATATTAGATTTTGGTATCAGCCTCTCTCCGGTCGTCGCTTAGCAAATATGTTATCCAAAAATTGAACAAGCATGTATTTACCTGTACATTTTGCAGTTTGTGTCGTCTCCCCTCACCCCCCCCCCCCCTGGGTGATAGTTTTTAAACGTGCACAGTTAATTGTATATTTTTTTATCTGCAGTCAGTTATTAGTACAGTTAACTCTCATTAGTCATTTATTGAACTGGCAAAATGCTTACTTCTTCTATATATTTTGCTATTTTTCGCCATGGTGTCACCCCCGAAATTTTGCCACCTTGCGCAGTCCTCAGCCCCGCCACCCAACCTTGTGACGCCTCTGGTTAGGGGTACTACTTGAGTACAGAAATATGTATATGTATATGTATATATATATATATATATATATGTATATATATATATATATATATATATATATATATATATATATATATATATATATATATATATATATATCGGGGGAGGGTATAGCCCCTTGGCACACCTTGTACCTACGCCACTACATAATCATGTTCTTAAGATTATATAGCACATTCTATGTATAAATTCGATAAAAATAGCTATTACGTAATCTGCAATTTTATATTTGTAATAACATATTGTAAACGAAATGAGTCTTAAATTCGATTAAAAAATGGGCTTTTATATTATGTATTTTTTCTATTTTGCAATCACATCATGTATTACTTGTTGTATAGCCTAGATTCTATAATAATATACTAATATATTCTATATTACATAATCCTATATTATATCGTTTAGTAATCTCTACCCTAATGTTTTCTATACCGAATAATCAATATTCTGTAATTCTAAA